ATATATATATATATATATATATATATATATATATATATATATATATATATATATATATAACTTTATTATACCTATTTCTCCAATTCATTACCTGAAAACTTGCAGTTGCGTAGAATCGTAGACACACAAGTAATTGTAGTACAGGAGAAATAGGAAGACCCCGTTTATTTATTTTAGCCAAACCTTCTTCAACTTTCGGTAAAAGTCCATACATAACAGCTTCTTTAGAAAATCGAAAACGACATTTCATTATAAAATCCCACAAAGCAACATATGTTACACGTGAAAATAGTCGTACAGTACTCGACGAGAAAAGCGATTGTACCCCACAGTCGAAGAGAAAATATGCTTCAAGAAATCAATAGAATTGCAATGCAACGCGTTCACACCCGAGACGATGGCAAGGATACATGAGACATTAATATACTTGAATTCATTGCATATTGCTTTTAATGGATTGCATGATAATATATGTAAATATAAAAATATGTAAATGTAAATGTATATTTGAAAATTATTAAATGATGTTTACAATTATAACTATGTACAAATATTTCTTTACAAATTTTTTACATTACTTTTATTTACTACGCCTACTTTCACGATACCATGCCACGAGAGGAATGGGAACATCTGGAGTATACATGGGACATCGAACAGAGAGAATGCATTATAAGTTACAGTTGTTATCATTATATACCATCTCTACTTCATGTATCGAAAAGAAATTTTCGATTATAGTTATAATCAATTTTTAATTATTCATACATTCTGCAAATATGGGTGATACCGATCATGTTTATAGCCTATAATCCATTATTTTTGTTCCAAGTCCCATCTCTAGTTTGGATATGCTCTTACTTCTCGTGACGTCCTTTTATTAAAGTTGTTCTACTTTTTCTTTTTTCACATTCACCACAGTTTTGCGACGATGAGCAGCCGCAGTCGCAGTCGCAGCCGCAGTTGCAGTCGCAGGCGCAGTCGCAGGCGCAGTCGCAGCCGCAGCCGCAGTCGCAGTCGTAGCCGCAGTCGCAGTCGCAACCGCAGCAGCAGCAGCAGCAGCAGCAGCACCAGCGTCAGTGCGCACTCGCACTCGGGCGCAGGTGGCAACGACCCCGACCTCACCCAAGACGAGAGGTTCATGGTGTGTCCGCTCTGCGAGGGCTTAGGTTTTTTTGTAAGTATTACTTTCATTAGCAATCATTTTTTTTATTTACAAGGCATGCACGTCGATAACATCAGGGAGCACAGGGTAAGAATACGTCGTATTTTAGTCATTTATTCGCAATTCTCACGACATAGTGGATGATTGCGACGGGAATATTAGCACGGAAAGGTTTTTTTTCCTTACGTGTTTTTTTTTTACTTTCTCATACATCACATATCATTTGCTTTCATTTTTTTATAACTCTTTCAGGATCGCAGAACCATGACCGACCAAACGCGTCGAACTATTGCTGCAGCTCAAGCGGCTATCGATAGAGTGGAGCAATACTTCGACGGCCTGCTGGGAGAGTTGGGGTGGTATTTGGGGTGCGGAAACCCAGAACACCGGTTTTGCCACGGTGATCCAACCTTGAAAACTCTTTTTCATTATAAAATTGGAAAGGGTTATGTCCATCCCGTATATCGCTTCGGAGTGCGCATTATAATTTTTTCTCTTTCCTCAATGTCTGATAAATCGGAAATATCACTCAAATCTTGCATATCCATAGTTATTAACGATTTGATTCGCAATTAATAATGTTTATAATGTTACGAGTGTCGTCTTAAGAGGTCTACGGACATGACTTGAAACAAGACATCTTATTTGCTACTTTTTCTAACAGATGAGATGATCTTAAAGCACTATGAATACATTTTATTTCAAGATTTCTTTAGATTGTACTTATGGAATATGAGATGTGTTCATAAATCGTAATAAGGTCTTATTACGAAATAAGACAATCTTGGACAAGTTTATTCTTGAGTAGTTGCTAAAGCATGATCCTATTGCCTAATTATGAAACGAAACACCATCTTAAGATCACTCATAAGACATCCTTAACTGTAAGTATCGACTATGAATACGGCCCAAAGAGCGAAATATAAGGAAGAAGACTACGTTTTAATCTTGATCTCCGCACTCAGGCAGGTGAAAGCTCGAAACTGAAACCTAAGTATAAAGGTCCTTACTTTGTAGCTAAGTCGTTAGGAAATAGCCGGTTCGTGATCAAAGATATTCCTGGGTTCAACTTGACCCAAAGACCACTTGACACAATCCTGTCTTCAGATAAATTGAAGCCCTGTGTTAAATCAATGTAAAATACAATGCGGATGTGTATTGGCGAGTATCGGAGTCGCGTAGAGTCGTTCGACAGAACGAAATTGATGCGAGCGAATATACGGACTGCGACTCAGATAAGGTGAAGCGAAGGATCAAATGTTGTATGTAAGAGATTTGTTATACCGACGTCACAAATTGTGCATCCAGCTTGTGGACTCCTATTGACACAAATTTATGCAAACCATCGAGATCCTGCGAAGCAGACACTGAGGCGTGTCTGCGAAGTTGGTACCTCAACTTTTGGCATCGCAAGTTTTGAGGCAAGTTCCATTTGCACCCGCAATAGTTACAGTTTCAGTTTTTACAGTTTCTGATAGGTCATATCAATAGTTCCGTTCATTTAATGCAAAAAATCGATTTTTGAAAAAATGCGGTGCCAACTTTGCACCTAAAATTCCAAAAAACGCCGTTCCAATCATATTTAAAAACGATCATACTTTATAGTTTTTAAAGATTTCTATAGTTCCTGATATATCGCAACGAGAGCCCTAACTATTATTTTTTTAATTTTTAAAAATTGGAGCCAGCACCGCACCACAAGAGTAAAGGATTAGTTTGCACAGAGTTTCCACCGGTCTTTTCACATTTTCTTATAGTTCTAAAATAATTCCGAAGCTTCCAGTAGATCCCGCCGAAGAAACTGGTCCGCAACTATCTTTTTTTAATTTTTAAAGGTTGAAGCCAGCACCGCACCACAAGAGTAAAGTAACAGTTCGTACGCAGTTCCAACCTGCTTTTTCACATTTTCCTATAGTTCTAAAATAGTTCCGAAGCTTTCAATAGATCCCGTTGAAGGAATTGGCCCGCAACTATTTTTTTTTTATTTTTAAAAGTTGGAGTCAGCACTGCATCACAAGAGTAAAGTATCAGTTTGCACGCAGTTCCAGCCGGTTTTTTCACATTTTCCTACAGCTCTATAATAGTTCCAAAGCTTTGGATAGGTCCTGTCGAAGGAACTGGCCCGCAACTATTTTTTTTTATTTTTCAAGATTGGAGCCAGCACTGCACCACAAAGTGCAAAATATTAATTCGCAAGTTGTTTTAGCTGATTTTTTGATATTTTCTGATAATTTTGTTGTAGGTCTAACGTTTTGGGTGGGTTTCGTCGAACATTCCTGCTTTAAAATTGTTATACCTGTTGTCTTTATCTTAGTTTTCACGCTAGAATGAATTTTACTTCAGGATAAAATAATTTGCGCATTTTTTAAATATTGTTATAATCGCGAATGGTACCAGCGCTTTCGAAACACTTCTCGAGGAATTGTTTCAATTGCGCCACAACAAGCAAGCAATGTGCAAGTGCTGCGATAAGCACCACCTTGCACATTCCGCATTTAGGACCTCAATTCCAAACGCATGACACCATTACCAAATATGGTAATGTTCTTGTCGCCAGGCACCCCCTCCGACAAGTCTAAAACAATACTATAAAAAAGCGGAGAGACCACTCGCGTCAGGCTTAACATCTCGGTCTCTCGCCGCGACATCCGCGTCATACGTGACTTACGCGCGGTACGCATATTAACTTATAAGTACGGGAGTTGTAACTAAAACACATACAAGTGTATTTATTCAAATAAACCTTTATATATATATAATACTACAAAAGGTAGTCTAAACTCTACTACATTTTCTCCACCGCCACACACCCTGCCGCACCCGCATCACCGATCTCGAACTTTCCTTCGTGTCCCGGCAACACGGGCACGACAATATCTTTTTTTCGCAAGCAAATGTTTAGTAACTATTTTTTGTTGTCCTATAGATTGGCGAATTCCGTGGTGTTTCATATTTGAATTGAATATAATTTTATTTTATCCGTCCTCCACACATTAATTATTTTGAAGGTTAAAAAGAAATATTCGATGTAGGGTAGTGTCTACTCTAGTATGAGTAATCTGTGGTTATACTTTTAGAATAGGAATCTTCGATTAAGCTGTAAAATATTCGAGTAACATGTAAAATATTAATCAATTATATATTATTATAAGAATATTTAATGGTTAATTTTTTAAAGGTCACGTTTCAAAAGGGGGAGGGGAATAGCGTAGAGGCCGAAAATATAAAGAACTTCCCATAATGGTAGAATAATAATAGATTTAGAAAGTGAGACATTGAAATAAATAGGCTTTTCAGTGTATTAAAGTGTAGAATAAAGTAGTTTCGTAGTGTGCTAAGGCGTAGAGTAGGAAATTTTTTAGTAGTTTTTTCGCTTACGACTTTACTCCACGCCGTAATATACTGAAAAACTAATTACTCCAAAATCTTATTCCCTTAATCCACTATACCTACTTATAGAATAGGCTTTAGGATTTTTCATAAATTTCTTTATATAAAATATGTTAATAAAAATCGGTTTCAATATAATATGTTTCTGTGTATACAGGGTGTTCGGAAAGTACCGGGACGACCGAATATCAGGAAAAATATAAGTTTTACAAAAAAATGTTTCAGACAAAAGTTGTGGCGTTTAAAAAGATGTATTTACTGATCACATCAGTTTGACCTTGGGTTGCGTAGCGAAGGTCAGGTCAAGGTCACATTAATTTTTTTAAATGGAACA